GTCTCTCATTCTCTCTGTCTCAAATAAATAAATAAAATCTTTAAAAAAAAAATCACATCACAATATATACTATACATGTATCAAATCATCTTGCTGTATGCCTAAAACTAATACAGTGCTTTATTTCAATTATATCTCAATAAAAAATTTATTCAGAAGTAATTAAATGAGAATTTCCATACTGGCCCTTTTTCCCATCTTTGAGAGGTAAGGGAAAGTATTTTCAAAATTTTTTGAATGCCAGAGAAATACTTAGTTTTTAAAAGTTTTTAAAATTGAGGTATAATTCATATAATGCACACGTCTTAACAGTACAAGTCAATCAGTTTTCACATATGCACCTGTGTAACCCACACCTCTATCAATATACAGAAAGTTTCCATCACTCCAGAAAATTCCCTGTACCCCTTCCTAGTCAATCAATCTCCACAAGCAACCACTCATCTGATCTCTACCACCTATGATTGATTTCACCTTTTCTAGAACTTCATGTAAATGTTCTAACACATAGTTTTACCTTTTGAATATTGCTGAAAAAATACAAATTGTTTCTAGAAAACATCTTTTTCTATTAGTGGAATTAGGGAAAAAGATTTTTAAGGGAACCACTCCCTAAAGGCATAAACACCTACATTATTTTCCATTTTAGTTGCTTTAAATAACCATCCCTGTTGATTTGGGGACATGAAAGCTGGTTGTGCCAAATAGACAAGTGTTATCTAGGTCCTAAATGCCGGGGCCAATATTTTCCCCCAACTCCTGTGTAGTTCATTGTCTGATTACCTCTTTTTGGCAAGGCCACAACATTCCATATACATAGGAAAGTGACTTTTTATTCCCTCGTTCTTCTGAGAATAAGCCTATTCCACATGAAAGGGGCCCCTCAAAAGAGAAATCTGCAGAGTAATTCAAAGGGAAATGATTGAAGAAAACATATACAATTTCTATTTAAGACTTCAGCAAACTCTGCCCAATGAGACAGAGCTACATCCATGATTTGCCTCACAGTGGAAAGGGTTTTTGGTAGGGCCCTTCTCGACATCCTTCAGCAACGCTTGACAGCCCTGTCCTTCAAAATTGCTACAGGCTAGTCTACAGGTCCCCAAATTCCTAAATGACTCTGTGCTAAGGCCTTACTCTTACTCCAACTTGAAAATCTGAGCAAAGAGTAAATCAAGCCAACAAGATAACTTTTCTGATGAATCAAGATCCTGAAGCTTTGTCCCGCCACTATTCACAAGTGAGAAAATTATCCATGAGGGTTGTGTTAATCTTAGAAAACCCATTTGTAAGAAACCTTCAAATGGGGGTATTCCTTTAAAAGTTCAGTATAGGAGGGGCGCCTGGGTGGCTCAGTCGGTTAAGCATCCCAGGGTCCTGGGATCAAGTCCCACAACGGGCTCCCTGCTCAGGGGGAGCCTGCTTCTCCCTCTCCCTCTGACTGCAGCTCTCCCTGCTTGTGCTCTCTCTCTCTCTCTCTCCCCCTGACAAATAAATAAAATTAGAATATCTTTAAAAATAAAAAAGTTCAGTGTAGGAGGTACCGTCACTTATCTCATCCACACTTCATTGCTGGGACCAGCTTCTGCTTCCCATACTCCACACCTGCCGCGGAAGCTTCGCAGGTCATCCCTGACTCCAGAGCAGGGCTGTACCAACACCCTGTCCTCCCCCCTCCAGACTAGCCCAGCACCTTACACGATATACCCTGTGCTTGCTGAAGGAATCCAAATACTTCTCACCTTCCACGTGCCTGGGGATGAAATTCTTCCTGTTCTAGGAAGCGTCTTCTTCACCTTCACTGAGTGCCCTTGTTTTTAAATTCCTTCCTCATTTGTCAATGCCATCGTTTGCCACTCTCGTACCATCTAGGGTTCTTACTTAGCTTCTTAGCTGTGCATATCTTACCCTCCTTAACTATACTGAACATGTTTCAAGACAGATTCCATTCACGAAATCTCTGAATCTCTATGAACCCAGTTTCTGTCACAGAGTAAGCACTCAAATATTTGATAAATTCCATAGCTATGCAAATCTCTTATAAATACATTTCAACTTGCAAATATGTTGCTTTTATACAGTTGTAGTCTGTTTTGTGGGCTGATGATGCTAATCTAATCACCTTTTCTTCTAATCGTGGCTTCCCTCTCCTTAACATGCTCTGTCACCTCTGCAAATTACATCATCAGACATGTCTACCCAAAATCACTGGAAGAAATGACTGTAGAGCAGCCCAAGCTCTTTGGATTATCACATTCTAATAAACAAATTTTTATATTAATGTTATCTCTTTTTTTGAAAAGATAACAAACCCTTCTAAAGCAAGGGGTGCCTTGATGGGTAAGAATTTAGGTATGCTTGGATTACCTATTAACTAATTAGCTTTTAAATGAACTGCACTTCTCATGGGCAAGCATAAAACAAAAGGCAAGTCTTTGAAGTTCTTACACCAAGAATGAAATGAGGATGACCTGCTATTTGGGGTCCCTGGACCCAGTTTCAATGTGTGTGGGGGGCAAGGGAGGTTTCCCCACATCAACAAGCAATTCTTCAGACATTAGCTGGGTGTCCTACCATTTAACTCGGTTCTGACACTCTCTACCCAGAGACAGCTGCATATCCCACAGGTTAAGAGCTCAGGCCTGCAAGACTGCTCCGTTCCCTGCCCCCACTGCAGATGCCAGTTGCAAGTCCAGGATGTCACCTATCCTTCTGACCCACTGGCTACAAATCAGAGGTTCCCAGGATCCCCTCCTCGGGTTCAATTAATTTCCTAAAGCAGCTCAGAGAACTCAGAGAAACATTTTACTTACCAGATCACTGATTTATTAGAAAAGGATATAACTCAGGAACAGTCCGATGGAAGAGATGCACAGGTCAAGGCACGGGGAAAGGGCGTGGAGCTTCCATACCCTCTCCAGGCACCACTCTCCACGCACCTCCACATGTTCACCAACCCAGAAGCTCTCTGAATCCTGTCCTTTGGGGGTTTTACGGAGGCTTCATTACGTAGGCGTGGTTGATTAACTCACTGGCCACTGGCAACTGATTCGACCTCCAGCCCCTCTCCCCTCCCCCAGGTCAGTGGGCGGGACTGAAAGTTCCAACCCTCTAACCGCACCATTGGCTCCACTAGCAACCGACTGCTTTGCTTAGGTGTTTCGAAAGTTACCCCGTTATCCTAAAGAAAGACACCTTTATCACTCTTTCAGGAAATTCCAAGAGTTTTAGGAGCTCTGTGTCAGAAATGGGATGGAGACCAGATACATATAGTTCTTAATATAATTCACAATATTATAACTGCCCATCTGTACCCACAAAGGTTGTCTGATTGAGTTAAACTTCTGAAGAATTTCAACAGCTCATTTAACTCGAGCTGAGGGAACCAAATCTGCTCTTGTGGGTACAAGAAGATGCCTGAGTTTCTTAAAAGTGCAAGTTACCACCTTTGCAAACTCTTAAGACCAGGTCAGGCTTTAAATCTGAAATTTCGCCATTGATCTCCAGCGAGCCTGACTAGGGACCATTGAAAAATACCTCAAAAACAAACCACAAGGACGAAATAAAAGCAAGAATCTCTGAATACTCCTTGGGTTACCACTCAGAGAGACTGGTTGAGACCAAGCTCAGCCAACACAAGAAGTGGCCCCTTTCCCAGGCTCCAGATAAAACAGACTGGAAAACAAAGAGGCTTCAATGCACTTTTCAAAAAAAATAAGCCAACAAGCCAGGTTTGAAACTCCAGAGGCCCTCAAATGCCATTACTCCTGATGAGCTTGTCTATATGCCATCTCTGATCTTATGGTTACAATTTCACCTGCATTGATCAGTCCTTGCCACTCTGGACAAAAATGACACAAGTGTGTATTTACAGTGATTTTCTTAAAAAAAAAAAAAAAACAAAAACCCAAGAACTCAGTCTGCTATTTTTCCTTTCAAACTGGCAGCCCGGTTCCTTTAGGTTTACAAAGATGAATCTAACGACGAGAGCAGAGTCCCTGTCTCTAGCCAGGAGGCAGGTGCACGCTACATGCTTTTTTGAGGAAGGTGACTTTGCCAGGTGCACTGAACCCGGACAGCTCTGCACTCCCCATTCCTTCTCCCAGCCACCCTGCACAGACCCATCCAGGCTGAGGGCTCGGGGCTGGCCGTCAACTCCTGCCAGATGGGGTTCAGCCTGCGTCGACCCAAACCTGCGTAAGCCCGCTGCTCTGTTAGCCCACCAGGTGGTTACATGGCTCAAAAAATAGGTAAGTGTGAAGACAAAGTGAGTGGTGACAAGGGATAATGGTGAACGATGTGAAAGTTAAAAAAAAAAACAAAAACCTGCTGCCAAATTAGGTGTGGATGAGACATCCAGAAAAGATGGGGGCAGTGGACTGCAGACCTTTCTTTAGAAGGACTGGGTACTCCGGTTGCTTCCCTTGTGTTCTTGTCAATCCATTTTAAAAAAACTGATGGAAATCATGAAGGAGGCACTATGGATGTAGAGAGGACGGAACTCAAACCAGCAAACCCATATTTAAGGAAAACGCCTTGACCCTATGAGCTTATGGTGACAAATGGCAAATGAATGTACATTTTTATATTTTCAGGCAAAATTAAATAAGATATAAATGATCTTAATTAGGGGTGCCTGGGTGGCTCAGTCGTTAAGCATTTACCTTCAGCACAGGTCATGGTCCCAGGGTCCTGGGATCGAGCCCCACATCGGGCTCCCTGCTCGGCGGGGAGTCTGCTTCTCCCTCCTCCACTCCCCCTGCTTGTGTTCCCTCTCTCGCTGTGTATCTCTCCGTCAAATAAATAAATAAAATCTTTAAAAAATTATCTTAAATAAGATAATATCTAATTTAATTAATATATATAAAACATCATGTTTTAAGATTCTCTGCTTGATTCAACCTTTTTCAAAAAACCAGTCCATACCTCCAAAATCCTCCTAAGAGTTGTCTGGGTTTTTTTGTTCCTTTGGGGTAGTTGGTGTGTGTGCATTTGTGTGTGTGTATAGCTTTGCAATACTGTAGGATCGATCTATCAATCAATAAGAATATAACATATTTATACACACATACATGATATCACCTATTATATTTTTATTGCCCAATAGATTGATTGGTTTCATAGTCTTGCAAAGCTAATACTATGGTCTTACCTCAATCTGTCCCTGTGATTGAAGAGTTTTTATTGATTTGGGATGTTTATTTTTAGTTTTCAGTGGAATGAGAAAATACCCACTGGCATTTATACATCCATTATAAAAAGGCATATTTTATATTATGCAGTGACAATGGCCCAATATCTGCAATATTTTTTTTTTAAAGATTTTATTTATTTATTTGAGAGAGAGAGAATGAGAGACAGAGAGCATGAGAGGGGAGAGGATCAGAGGGAGAAGCAGACCCCCCGCCGAGCAGGGAGCCCGACGCGGGACTCGATCCCGGGACTCCAGGATCACGACCTGAGCCGAAGGCAGTTGCTTAACCGACTGAGCCACCCAGGCGCCCCCCCAATATCTGCAATATTATAAGTAAACAGACATAATGGGAAAACTCATTTTTGATAATATAATTTTTTAAATATGGTTTAAAAGGCCAACCTTTATGTTTTGTTTTACATAAATATCCTAGGCTACACAGTTTTCCTTTTTCCTCTGGGAAGCAAGCCCATCCTGAAGCCTGGCACTGAACCGGCGGTGACTGAACAGGACACTGGTCTTGCTGGTGGCGGGGACGTCCTACGTCATCTCGGCACGAAGAGTAACACCTGCGATCCCTCCTCTCCTTCAGCGACCCATGCCCGCTTTCCCTACAGCCAACGGGCAGGTGAGGGTGGCCACTATCTCCCAGAAATGTGTTAATAATTTTCCTTATCTTGATTTGTATTTCATAAAACATTATTACAACATTAAAGGAAAAACTATCTTCTGTGACACAACCATTTTCAATCCTCGTTCCCTTCCGGTCTTCAATCACACACGCGGAGATGTATTTTACGTGGCTGTGTCCTAGTAGATGCAATTTTGTGTCCTGATCTGTTCATTTATTTTGCAAAAAAGTCTTTTCATACTTCCATTTATTTGCTTACTTATTCGGCAAGCGTTTATTAAAGTACATATTAGGTTTCAGGCACTCTTCCAGGTACCACGTAAGTAAAGATAGATCAAAACCAGATCCCTGCTGTTGAAAAGCTCTCAGGTTAGCAGAATTTAACAGAAAATTACATCGCACAGTATTGTAATAAATACAGATTTAAAGACCTCTGGGTTTACCATCTTAATGTCTTCACAATCTTCTAGTTGAATACTATCACTTAATTCATATAACTGTTCTCTCTCTTATTTTTCATTATCACAAGCAATTGACGTGTTTCATTTATTTTTTTTTCTGTTAACCATTTTCTTTGGATAAATTCCTGGGAGTGAGATTACTGGCTCAAAGGATGTTAATTCAGATTTTTACAGCTCTTGCCATACTCTGCTAAATAGCTTCATACTAGGATCATAAAGACATACGAAGTCACCACTTCTCGGTATTACCAACAGTCTTAATGTAAAATGTTTTCTTAGGATTCTCAAAAGCAGGACCCATTATTGTCTTAATTTGCATTTATTTAATTAATAGCAGTGCGGAACATTTCCTCATGGTAAAGATTTTTCTTTCCCTTTGTGGGATTTGTGTTTATGGCAGATTTATCTACCATTTATTGTTGTTATAGTACCTTCCTAGTATAATTTCATATGTGATATATATTACAACTTTTCATGATCATTTATTGCAAAATGTTTATTTGTTGTTCTCTGTTGTTTTTTTTTAGCTAAAGTCACTTCAAATTATACCAAAATTTTAACTTTTTTTTAAATTAGTCACATAACGAGATCCCCTCGTTAATGAGTTAAATAAAACTTTGACGCATGCTCACTTTATGTTTGTACGAGCATCAGAGAACCTGGTGGCTAGCATCAGCCCTGCTACTTGGACCCACGTCACAGTTCACTTAATCCCCTCCTTGACTTCTAGCTTCCTTTTTTTGTAAACCATGGGTTTCTCTAAGGCCAAATGGTACTCAGGAAACCAAAGCTATCGGAGAACTGTATTTCTATACACAGACACAAGTGTTGAATCAGGATGAATGATCAGGTTCTAAGTCTGAAGCCCAGGATTGCCCAAGCAGAAGGGAGAGGAGCAGAGGAGAGGGAGAAGCAGACTCCCCGCCGAGCAGGGAGCCTGATGTGGAGCTCGATCCCAGGACCCTGGGACCACTCCACCAGCACGGCTGGCCCCGAGTAGCCAGGACCGAGCAGCAATAAGGGAATGCGGGGCAGTGGAGAGAACAGTTGGTCTCCAGCCAGGTGGACCTGGCTCCAACCCTCAGCCCTGACTCTTCTAGGGTCTGTCTCTTTTTTTTTTTTCCTTCTGGGATCTCTTGAGGCTCTTTTCTCATCCACAAAACAAAGTGCTTGGGATGGGCCACCCAATGGGCCAATGTGTAAAGAACCTTATCACGCCTGTCACATACTAGTCTTCTATAAATGTCCCTTCTTTCCCTTCCCTTTGAATCCACAGTGTCCCCCACGATGAATACTGAATTTACCCTCTAGAGATGGCTCAGGGTCACTCTGGAGAGCCAGAGTCTACCGGCAATTGAAGCAGAGGAGAACAGCTGTGGCAGTGGGCCGGGACCTCTGAAGCCCTTGTACACTGTGTGAGAAAGACTGTAATTTCAGATGGCCCACACCTGCTCCTAATGGGCTTGGCGGCATTCCTGTCTCTGAGAAACCAGATAGTGTCTAAGGTCTCTCTAAGCTCAAACATCCGCCACAGCAAGGCCAAGCAGGGGTGGATCCTGACCGCCCGCGCGAGGCCACCCACCCACCCGCCTGGCACGCTTACCTCTCCTACTACCTCTATGATGTCGCCGACCTTCAGCTCAAGCTCGTCGTCGTTCTGGGGCAGGTAGCTGAACGCCACCTGGCAGCGGCGCCTCCTTCGCTCGCCTGAATGGGGAAAGCAAAATATTGTTGAGATGCAGCTCTTGTCTCAAAATTCGATTTTAAAGTGAGGCTTCCTAGGCATGCAGGCAAATTAAGCTGACTTGTCTCAGATATGCTCTCTGGGACATGGCTAGAGGCACGGCAGCCCTGGTCTCAGAGAGAGGCAGTAGAAAGCAGAGCAGTGCTTCTTGGTCTTTTAAAAGCTGCTGGGTCAGAAAGGCATGGATATGAGAAACCGATCCGTTGGTGCAGAAGGCAAAAACCCCACCCCTGAAGCGCTGGAGCAGTGTTGCCTTAAACGCTTTTCCACGGATGGGGCTTTGTATTTGTTGCTGTTGATTTTTGATGAAAGCTGATGTGATGTGGTAGAATAAAAAGAATGGTCTGCTTCTAATGCTAGCAAGGCAGAGGAAATTTTCCCCAATGTGCAAAGGAAAAGATAAAGTAGCCTGGCCTTTTTCTGACTAATCATCACCCTTTCAACATGCTGGAACTCAGGCCTGATAAGCAAAGGCTAGTTAGATTTCAGCCTGCCCTTGGTGCCATTTCAAATGCCCCAAAGGGGTTCAACAAATCCACTTCGGTCCTCTTCCCTCAGTTCCAGGGGACCGATTAGCAGGATCCCTGGCTGCTCACACAGAACCAACCCAGGCAAATCAAGATAAAAGCCAGGACCACATTTCACTTGACCGGAGGACATTCAAGGTCACAGCATCTCGCTCACCCAGAGCGGCCCAACGGGGAGGCCCTGGCTTAGAGCTGGTTCAAGTACAGATGCAATTGTCCACACCACAGACATGCACTGTGGGCAGAAAGAACATGCATGTGGTATGTGTGATGGGGGTGGGGTAGGGAGACAGACAGGCAGCAGCGGAGGCCCAAGCCAGGGAGAGGTGGATAGCAGAGAAGAAGTAAGACCCGCATTGCTCCCAAGTTTGTGGCTCAAGGCTGACCACCTCACATTGTTCCCTCCTGCCACCACATGGCCTAGAAAACCAAAGGGATCAACAACTTCAAGGAAACACATTTAGAAATGCTGACATTATTTTTGGATACTGCCTACAGTGATTCTTTTCCTTTTCTAGTCTTTTCCCTGAGAAAGCAAATCCCTGCAGGAGTGATCACAGGCCGCATTAAGGCCCCCGTGCAGCATGACATCATACAAAGGGGAAGGTCTTTGCTACATCTGATGGGCTCACTGATCAATATGTTTCAAAAGCCAGTGGCCTAGTTCACTCCGCTCCATTTTTCTCTGCCTGAACCTCACTACGGAAGAACCGAGTCAAACAGAAGAAAGGGGGCAGAAGTTCAGAATCAATAGCTTGTCTGATCACATCTTTGGCAACTATACAAATACACTCCACTGCTTCATGCAAAACCACAAGCCACCTGGGCCTAATGGGAACAAATGCAGAACCTCGGGCCAACTGCCAGGTGCCGACCACACTGTCTGCAGGTGGCACAGGGCGACCCACGGAGGGCCCGGCTCTCCCAGGCACTGAGGGCGCATCCCAGCTGGCTTCTCCCCGGTGGGGAATGAGGAAGAGTGGCAGTCCGGGGCCAAGAACTCTACCGTGATTCCATGGCGTTCGATGCAATGGGAGGCAAATCCAGCACTCTGTTGTAAAGGGTACAGATTCCTCGTTCTAGCTCAGAAGGTCAAGATGACGACGAAGCGATCTCGGCACCCACCATGACTCCCCTGCCCCCACATACACCTCTTAAGACGAAGTTCTTTTATTTATTTGTTTATTTGACAAAGAGAGAGACATAGCGAGAGCAGGAACACAAGCAGGGGGAGTGGGAGAGGGAGAAGCAGGCTTCCCACGGAGCAGGGAGCCTGATTCGGGGCTTGATCCCAGGACCCCGGGATCATGACCTGAGCCAAAGGCAGACGCTTAACGGCTGAGCCACCCAGGTGCCCCTTAAGACAAAGTTCAATTCTAAATTGTGAAGAGATTTATTTGCTAGATGTTACATTAAAAGCAAGCTCTGCACGTACAAATCCGAACACAGAACGAGTAAACACGAAAAATCTCTGAAACCTAACATTCACAAGCACAGAAGCCACCAGTCCTGACCAAAGTGACTTGAAAATAACATCTGAAGCCCCAGTGTTGGCTGAAATCATAAAACGCAGTTATACATAAGTTCGTGTCTGCACAAAACCCTCTGTGAAAAGCAGCATCTAACCTGATGTTACGCAAATGGTGAAAGAGAGAGTGATGTATTCTTCACGGATAGACTAACACTGCAGACTCAGGACCTGGAACAGGATAATCAGATTTCTCTTGAACCAAATCTCTGCCTCAGACTTCTATAAAGCCCTGTCTGGTATCAGAAGAATGACACGTTTACTAGTTTCTGTCTGCCAGGCTAATCAATAGTTCTTAAACACCTCTAAGAAGGTTAATTCATTGGTGGCATAAAGTCCTATCAAACACATCACCCACATACAGGACCAAGAAAAGTGAGTCCCACAGCGAGGTATGCAGATGTTGCTGACCGTAAAGGCCACCTGACCTGACCCCGGGCAGAAATAGTGATTTCCTGTGGCACTGGGATAGCTTTGTGGTCTTTTCTAAAGCACTTCTGGTATCCACCATCCAATCTCATCCTGCCAACCACATGAGTTAAAAAGAAAAAGAAAGGAGCCAGAATGAGCAACCATTTTGCAAATGAGAGCGTCGGGGCTCAGTGACTTATCCAAGGACACTGAGCTGATGAGCGGCAGTATCTCCTTGGCCTGAGTTCAGAGCTTTCCTCCAATGCTGGATGAGCCAATCCTATTCACATCTCATCCCACATTCTCTGCAATCTGTACTCAACTGCTTCTTGCACCACTGTGTAACACAGCCTCAGGTTTTCACCCCAATTCCCTGACCGCTGCTTTTCCAGGCCTCAACTTCTGCAAATCACCGTTCCAGTCTTGTTTGCCAGATCTACCCAAACTAAAACCCAGTTCAAGGTGGGTGGCCGACATCAGGAGACACTGCGTTTCAGGTGCCTCTGTCCATCCAAAATTTAAGGGAGTTTAAGGATATCATTGGCCATTTTTCCCCCTCCTGGCATTTCACTGATGTTTACTACTCAGTCTTGACCTTCCTTGAGGAGGTGCCTAGACAACAATGTCATCTCCTTTCAATAGCTGGCATAAACTGGAGAAAAATAAGAATGACTTGCCCAAGGCCGTGGCTTAGCATCACTGAATTTGAGCTACCATCTTCATACCCAGAGCCCAGTCTGCTTGAACTCGTTTTCACACATTACTTTGGGCTTTTTTTCTATGGAATAAACTGAGCCTTGAAAGAAATTTAAATGCATTTGCTGATCATGGCCAACAATACAAATTGATATCAGGACAACTAGAAAGAGAAGAGGACATATGTTCCTCCTCCTTCATGTCAGGGCCACTGCCACTGTCCTTTGTCACTCTGTGTGTTTTCTAGGTGGGACCACTTACCTCCCAAGACATAACCGCGAGAAGTAACACACACGGGTTTTACGGACATACATGCTAATGTATATGTGCTCACGGACACAGACTCACGGACACGGGTCTCCACGGCCGTAGTGTACGGTGGCTGCACACTACACATGCCTGGCCATGCATTCACACGTCAAAACACGGGCACACGGACGCCAAGGCACACGCTCGCAATGCCCACACTAGGCCTCGTTCATTCCTGCCCTTACTTTCGTGACCAGCTTTGTGTAATAAAATAACAACAGCTAGCATTTATTGAGCACTTACTGTGTGCCAGAGACTGCTGAGTACCGTATACGTATGACCCCACTTAATCCTCACGCCGAACCCCCTTTTTACAAGCAAGGAGAGACACAGAGATTGAGTGTTTTACCAGAGGCCTTACAGCTCGAAAGTGGATGCAAGTCTGGAGCCACTGCCCCCCACGTCTGACTGTTCTGAAGAACTCTCAGCTATGGCTCTTGAGACTGCAGAAAGGACTCACTGGGCCAATGTGGGACGTGGTTAAGATGTGAAACCGGGAAGTGAAAAACCACAAATCAGGAGCATTTCCTTATAGCTGCTGGATATTTTAATGAAAGAAAACTGGCTGGAAGTACACTCACACTCTCTAAAAATGACAGAGCAGAAACTGAAGAGGGTGCCGTGACCCATCCTTAGAAACAGCACACTCGTCCGTATTTTAGTGCCTTCTAGGGTCTTACAGCATGTGAAAACTTTACTAGGCCAATTTATTCAATGACCACAAAAATGTAACAACAAATAATGCAGTGGTGGAAAAAAGTCTTCGGGTCAACTGAAAACTTTCAACACTCACATTACCTATTTTTTTTTTTTTTTTTTTTAACATCTCATATCCCCTATGACGGAATACCAGTACAACTACAAGGGTCTAGGGGTGCCTGGGTGGCTCAGATGGTTAAGCGTCTGCCTTCGGCTCAGGTCATGATCTCAGGGTCCTGGGATCGAGTCCCGCATCGGGCTCCCTGCT